TGTTACTTCTGACGATGTTTCAGTCTTCTTTCTGAACAGCGACCGATGAGACGATGACTGTCGTATTGATGCCTCCGCGAAAATCGAGGAAGTTGATTTTGAGCAAACAACCAAGAATTGATCGTTCAATCTTCAACTCCATTGACACTCCCCGGCAAAAAAGGGATCCAACCCTTTTTTCCTTCACGACCAATGCACGTTGACTTGGATGCCATTGCGAGAACCTGGGTCACACGGACAGAGCTGAAATGGAAAACAAACAGAAAAGCCAACACACCACAAGCATACCCACAGCACAATCTCACACATCAATGACGACCTGCGCCTCCAGACAGAGACCTCCTCTTGACATCTTGCAACACAATCGCCATTTGCTAGAATGACTCTTGCAGAATGCAAAGTGACCATGGCAGCACCTCACGATACTCTACGCACATCCTCTTAATTACTCACTACCAATTACCACTGAAATCGCTTGTCACTCATTCTGCCTCAGTTCTAGTAGCGGTGACGCATGCGAGCCTCAGTCGTTTACACTCTTTCTCCCCGGCGTGTCGGACCGCAGCTAACAATTATCTCCGTGTGCATTTCATTCTCAGCAATAGCCTAGCCTCCCCGGCGTATACGACCCATCTGCTGTCCTTAACATCAATCAATTCATTCACGGATGTAGAAGACTCGAAACAACTTCAGAAGTAATCACGACGAAAATTTTAACAAAATTACGCAATAACAACAAGGTACGAAAACAACGAGTAAACACAATGAATCCAAAAACACCAATTGATATGACACACCACACATGTATACAAACAGTACAAACAAACTCGCAGATCATGTCTTGATGGAATTCCTTTGAAGAATTGCAGGACTTACACCAGTACGCCTACAACCCTTCTCAGGTTGACGATTGTAATTTGTGGAATGTCCGGACACAAACAAGATTAACCAACAATTACATCAATTGGAACTCACACAACTATTTAACACAAACATATGTACAATCACCACATCAAATGTTGTGGATTCTGGCATGACAAACTACCCTTGAAGAACTGTAGGACTTACAGCAGTACGCCTACATTCCTTCTCAGGTTGATGATCCAAGTGGAAGTCGTCCGGACACAAACAGAATTACCAACAGCTAGATGACAGATGATATCAATTCAGTATATACAATATGAACATATGTACAAAATCACACACCAAGCACATTGGACTGCTCATTGATGCGCTACCCTTTGAAGAATTGTAGGACTTACAGCAGTACGCCTACAACCCTTCTCAGGTTGACGCTCTAGGTTGGAAAATCGTCGCAGAGTTCATTTGCTAACTTCCTTCTATCAGCTATATCCTCAAATCTGAACGGCAACACGCCCATGTCATTGTATCGTAGAATATAGATGACCAACAAACACACGACATATCTCATCAACCAAGTGTAGAAACAGAGTAATTTACACCAAAGATAATAACATTCAAATAGTAACTTGAAACTAGAAATGCCTTTATTCGTGCAAGTCAATTTAACAATAACTCTCTCCTTTACACTTGGCTTATCCACACTAAACTGACCATTGATATTCGTCCTTTCAAACGAACTGATACTACCATAGTCATTGCACAAGATACTTGAGTTGATGGGTGTCTGTTTCATTGTGGATGACAGCACCAACGACGACTGATTGATATCAGTTGATGAACTTAGCAGTGGATCAAAAGCTGTTGTTGCTCGCTTTTCAGAAATTTGTCTACCTGCAAGACCACCACCACTGCTGTCTTTTACTATCAGCTCAGGTTTAACACTAGCATCTGATGATAGGTGGGCTACATGCTGATCACTCCCACTGACGGTCTTACAAGTATGCATGCCTTCTGCAACTGAATCTGCATTTATTTCTACTTCACGTTCAAGTTGTACAGAACCTTTATTTAACTTAGCAGTAGTAGGCATTCCCTCCATTTCATCATGATCAACCAAAGACAAATCTGCACTATCATGATCATTATCACAAATATCCAATTTACCGTCAACTTCATCATTTTCAAACTCTTTAATAACAGAAGTAGACAATTTTGGTTCCTCCTCAAAAATTATTAAAGGTTTTACATCTTCACTCTGACTAGTTATACTTTGTAAACTTTTGGAGTCAGAACTCCACTCTGAAGCAGTAACTCTATTCTGTGACACTCTATTCAGCAACGGCTTACCAGTTGCAACTACAGACTTCTTCACAACAACGTTATCGTCACACAATTCGGAGTCAGGCCTGGAGTTTACATTTAGCTTATCACTGAACTTGCTCACTGGTTCACAGTTCACTTCTGTATGCACCTCTTGCACACGTGTAGAACAAAGCCGTGTTTGTCTTGCATCTTGTAACTTATCTGTTGAGGATGTACTACGAAACCTGTTACACTCACTAGGTCTATATGCATTACTAGACATCATGGAGCCTTCTCGATATCCACCTCTCTGAGGCCTACTCGTCATCAATGATTGCGTTTTACCCTCAGACTGCTCTATTCTAGGGGTGAGATCTAACAGACTGGAAAACTTGCTCATAGATTGATTGACACTAGTATTTACCAGTTTCAGGATATCATCAAACTTTGGCTCGATACCCTCATCCTCCATACGGGAGCTTATCTTCACCCACTTCCTTTGCAGTCGAGTAGGTAGACGTCTTGCTATTACTTCTAGTATAAAACTCGAGTTGAGGTCACTCATTCGATTCATCGAAATCATTCCATTCTTGTAAATTAGCAAATTATCTAAAAACTCAGTGAGTGCCTGGGAGTCATCCTGTAATTGACCACCATTACCCTTAACAGCCTCGAATAATTTCCCTGCAATCATCGAAGGTCTTCCAAACCTTTGACGTAATATGCTCATAGCCTCATCGTAGCCCTCTTTTGGCTTCATAAACTTACAACACTGTATAGCTCTTGCAGCATCTCCAGTGCAATATCTCATCAAATACATTAACTTCAATTCATCATTTAATAAAAACCACTCAACATGATCTCAAACTCCTTTACAAATTGTAAATAATCAGCCGGGTTTCCATCAAAACACCGTGGTTCAAATTTAGGGAGTTTGATGTTCCTATTATCCCTGAACGGCGAAACAGTAACATCAACCATGTCATGTTTAACATCAGACACATCGTTACAATTAACAGACAAGTCACCATGACTTACTTTCCTGTTTGCATCCAAGACACTCTGTCCCTTCTTTGACCCAGGCATTGTTGAACTTGACCCAATTCCAAAAAAGTTCCAGATATTGCTTGTTCAAAGAGGACTTGACCGGCACCAGGAAAAATGAACGGCGACTATCCAAACTTTCACCAACTGTTTGAATCCGCCAGATCTGTTTCCATCGTCAGAAACTGTCAATCACGTCTCATAAACCGTTAATGCCCAGCTCTCGCTACGCTCGGGCCCACGCTGTTCTTAGAAGATTTCTCAGAAACGCTTAGTAACAACGGACGAAAAACCAAAACACCAATTGTTGACTTGAGTATTATGTATTGTTACACCAGCATATAAATCAAGTATCACTAAGCAAACTAAGGTCTGTAAACAAATATTACAATAATAAATCGTTGTTACTTCTGACGATGTTTCAGTCTTCTTTCTGAACAGCGACCGATGAGACGATGACTGTCGTATTGATGCCTCCGCGAAAATCGAGGAAGTTGATTTTGAGCAAACAACCAAGAATTGATCGTTCAATCTTCAACTCCATTGACATCCCTCTTTGGAAGAGAAGCGTTTATCGGTGTTGACCTGGAGCCGTAACTGTTTTGAGAGCCTTTCTGACCAACGGATAAGTGGAGGGTTTGCAGGATTTGTGGTATCTTTCCTAATGTTGCGTTCGGAAATGTCCAGCAGTATGCTCGGTAAAAACTTAGCTGTTGTTTACCTTTGGAGAATGGGCGCCGTTGTGGCTGGTTCTTGTTCCGAGTCCACGTTGATGATCCGTTTTGTGACTTTATACATCACGTTGCCAAGCATGCTAGCAATCACTCCTTCTATACATTTACTTATGATAGAGAAGATTTGTAGCTCAGGTGGATGATTTTGATGTGGTTTTGTTCTCTGAGCTGGATGGTTAGTTTGCGAAGCTTTCATCACCTTACTGGGTGACATCTTCAGCGCATACTTCAATTTGAAGTGAGCTTTTAGATTTCTCCACGAGTTTATTAATCATCTCCCCTGGTGACCTTGGACGTGATTGGTTGTTTATGTGTGTTTTCACACCCTCTAGGTTACTTGTATTTGAACTGACCGTTTCTTTGACTTGAACTTTGACCCTTTGTGTGTGAAGTTTCTTTCTTATTGGTTGATAAATTTTGTCTATCTCGATGTGTCTATTGATTGATGATCCACTGGAATGCCAAGCTTCTAGAGAGAGAATTTTCAGAAGCTTGGCATTCCAGTGAATCATCAATCAATAGACACATAGAGACAGACAAAATTTATCAACCAATAAGAAAGAAACTTCACACACAAAGGGTCAAAGTTCAAGTCAAAGAAACGGTCAGTTCAAATACAAGTAACCTATCAGTCATCGTCTGATCGAACGCTGTTCAGAAAGAACCTAGAAACAACTGTCAGAAACGTTAGTCCGTAATACCAATAATGCTGGTTATATGTTGGTGTTAGAACAAAGAATTCTCGAGTCACCAGTCTGTGTTCTGGTTTTTGCGTCCGTTGGTACTAAGCGTTTCTGAAAGGCTTCGAGGGACAGCGTGAGGCCCACCGTAGCAAGAAGTGGGCATTAACGGTTTTTGAGACGTGATTGAGAGTTTCTGACGGTTGTGGACAGTTTCTTACAGTTTGGATAGTCTCCGTCCGTCTTTCCTGGTACCGGTCAAGTCTTCTTTCAACGAGCGTTATCTGGGACTTTCTGGAATTTTGGTAACGTTTAATGATGCCTGGGTCAAAGAAGGGACAGAGCTTCTCGGAAGCAAACAGGAAATTCAGGGAATATGTATGTCTTGAAACCTGAAGATATGAGCACTGAAGATGATCAAGGATACTCCGATTCTCAAAATTGTAAAAGGAATACAATTAATAATGATAATAATGAGAATTTCTCAAACTGCATATCATCCACTGTTAACTCTTGTTCCTCTTCAAGTCCAGTTTATCATCAAACATCGCTTAGATCTACTAATGATTGTATTAGTGTTAAAATGTCAGAATGTTGTTCCTCGGACAATGCTAATTCTGCAACAGCATCTTTTGCAAATGATTCATCAGCATTTGTTTCAATGGGATTCTCTGTTGCTCTTAAAGCTCCTGATTCTTCGTCCTCATCCGCTTTTTCATCATCTTCCACTTCACCACCTGTTGTCACATGCACAAGCGTTGTCAATTTGCCCACTTGTAATTCTACTATGGTTGATCACAATCTTTCTCATTTACCTACCTATCCAATGAATTCAACAAAGGTGTGAAAACACACACAAACAACCAACCACGTCCAAGGTCACCAGGGGAGATGATTAATAAACTCGTGGAGAAATCTAAAAGCTCACTTCAAATTGAAGTATGCGCTGAAGATGTCACCCAGTAAGGTGATGAAAGCTTCGCAAACTAACCATCCAGCTTAGAGAACAAAACTACATTTACTTATCCCAGGCTGTAATCACTGCTGAACTATGGTGCCTCAGATTTGAAGGTTTCTATCACAATGTTCATCAGGTCGTGGACTCTGATGAGTGAGACTCTACGGCACAACTTTGGAGTGGTCTTCAGAAAATTCGGTGAACGCTGGTTTGCTTCAAAAAAACTACTTGAATCCTGGATATGATTAAAAACAACACCTAAACCAAGACTGTCCAACCAGTCCAGACCAGAAGACATGAACTGATCTCAGGGAGATGGCAAACTATGTTTCCGGTCAACGACAATGCCCCACTGCATGCACTGATATCAGTTTGGAAGGTATTGGCATAGAAGGTAGTCTGATTTTCAATGTCAGCTTTTTATGTACAGTGGTGATGAAAATGAATATTGGTGCTCCAAATTGACAATTCAAGATAGATTTCAACTCAAAGACCTAACCAGGTAACCGGCATTCGCACTCAAAGTTCAGAAGGTGATAAAGAATGTTGAAGTTGGATGGGTAATTGTCAAATAGATGTCTCAATAGCTACGCTGTTTCATCGGAAATGGAATCTCAAATGATAAACCCATTAGTTACCTATCTATAAGTTCATTTTCCAGGACAGCATAAACAACCCAAAACATGAAAGGGTTTGTTCACAGTTTTTGGCTTACGGGTTCATTATGTTCTCCTTATCTACCATCTAAATTTTCCTATTTTGCCGTAGGTACTACTACCCACAGAAACACACAGGAAAATACGTTGGGTGCGTGCAGAGAATAGTCCTAAACCAGGACGAGACAGCTGTCTATCACTTTCAGGCTTTTCACTGGTTCTCTAACCGATGACAGCTCATTATGGAACCCATCATACCCTTGCAAACCAACACCTGAAAACCTTTTGAACTCTGTCGTGCCTTCAGAATTCTGGTCAGTACCGGCTACATTCTTTTCGTGTGCTTTTTCATTACATTGATTCTGTTCAGTCAATAATCTTATGTAGTGGCTCTATCGCCTTTTCTAGATCACTATAATTCACTGGCAAATATTGGCAATAATGCTTGTAACTTCCAATATTTTACCTTCGAATAATTAAATTATACTGTATATACCATTTTAAAACTATGTGCAAGTCAGATCATATTTGGTTCATTTCGGACCACTCCGTATTCTGCCATTGTGAGTCCGATATCTGAACGCGGGATAACAAGATAAATTAGTTATTCGTGCTAATTAATTAGAGCCTAACCACTGTCACTCAAATGTGTGTCTCGAAAATGCGGAATTACAACTGTGTTAAAACAGAAACCATATTCTGATTAAAATTGGATGCTTTTTAGCTGAGAAAATACGGGAGACTTCGGTTATTAATGCGTCTGATAGAAGGAGTAGGCATTTACAGATTAATAATTATCATGGAAAAAGCTATCAAGTAACCGGCTCCTTCTCTCATGCTGACAAATACTACAGTAGTCATGACTAGGCACGGTTATGTATCGTATGCACCTAAATAACTTTTTTCTATCACTTCTTGTAGTGATAAATGGAAACCAATACGCGTTACCTACCTGGTATTTTGAATAAAGTTAGGTTAAGTTATAGTAGGCACTCATTTATCACAAGGGAAAAATCCACTCAAAACAGTTAAATATTGTTTCGCTATATTCAAGACTATAATAGTAGCCAGACATCCAGTTCAAAATGACTTTCCCTATTCCACAGTCACCACAACCTCAAGCTCGATTATATAGTTCAGAAATTGGATAAGTCCTTCAGATCTGCTGTGTGCGTCCCAGAAATAAAATGTTCCAAACGACATATTCAACGCATTATTTAACCCCTATGTATAAAGTGAAACATCACTTACAAAAGTCCTGGACCAAAGTGGGCTGATCGCACTAATAAAAATGCATAATAAAACCAGGAAATCATCCATTGTCAGGTTAACACAAGCTTACAACGAACATTATGCTATATATTTGATCGTAACTGCTGCAGTTATTAGCATACAAATGTTTCACTAACGACTGCTGTTTTCAACTAACTTGCTAGATATTGTTCATGCACCTCAGATGAAAACACACTGGTTTCTTTACAAATTGTTTTGGTTAATAATAAACAAATAGGATACACCACATTGGCTAAACATTAAACACTAAAACTTTGAATTTATCGCATAGCAAATTCCACACACTTCTCCCTCTATATCTCCTGTAAACGATTTCCACCATATTTTAGTACATGGTCATACTCAGGAACTTTCTATTTTAACAGTGCACAAATACAGTGTAGGTGTATTCCGTTCAAAAATTATTTATACTGAGTTGCTGAATGTTACACCTAGATTAATATATCCTAAAACACCAAATTCGCCGTTCTGTTGTTTACGTCTACTGAGAGCACAAAACTTGGTGCTCAACTCCTTCTTCTCACAACCAGAAGTGAAAAAACCAACCGAGTTACCTACTATTATCAAACCAGTACTATATGGTGTAATTTGAAAGCCATGAGGTCTACTCATATCCTAATAAATGAACCAGCCATGGGCTCAGAAAACAGGGAAAATTCAGCGCGGAATATCTACCCTGATCATGAGGGGACGATATCATCCCTATGGAAGCTCTAGAGCACAGGAAGAACACCTAAATAAACTTGTTCTCTGCCTGAACTATGAAGGATGAGTGATGCCCCTAGTGAAAATATCCGGAAAGCCAGTCAACTAAACTTCGTTCTTCCATAAAAAGCTAAAATAAGCATGGGGTCATGAAGTTTCCTCTTCAGTATATGTGACTGACTGACATAGCTACTTGGACAACAGAAGCATTCAGAATGTGTCACGGAAGGGTTATGACTCTGTGGGAGCACATGGAATGGAAGTAGACTTTCCAAGCTGTAAACTGCAGATATTTCAATCTCCACCTAGACAACAACAATAAAAGAACGCGCTGTGTGGCTGCCACAACGTTACCAGCATTTTGAAGACTTCTCTACGGTGGAAGGAGTCTCGTTTATGATTGTGACGACAGGATTAAATCAAAAGAAATGCGAGCTGCAGTCACACAAAGCTACATAGTCACCAACGGTGAAGGTAATGAGAATTAGGCAGATACCTTTGGAGAAACGACTGTGAGTGGTAATAGAAAATGCGCCAGGAAGATGGCGACATAAAACTTCTAGTGGTCCAAGTGGCTGTCGAACTACAGTAGACACCCACGAAGAGAAAGCATCATGAGACGAGGAACGCTAGGTGAGATGAGTGAACATTTAGAATTATTTACTGATCTACTTGCGTTTAATGGTTAGGTGTGTGGAAGTGGCAAACACAAGCAAGACAGGCATAACTCTGAAATTAATGTCTGGATCTACAGCACTCAGTGCACGGCGTACATGCTGAACTCCATCACTGATGTGAAATCTGTGCCTCTATTAAAGTCAGACAGTTGGTGAATCGTGGAACGCACTGCCAACGGACTACATATTTTTAATCAACAGATGTCTTCGGTTGGAACTGAAGATCAGATAGTCGACTGGAATGGATAGGCCGCTGGGATACCTGACAACCAACCAGCCAAGATCCTTTGCTCCACAAATATGCAGAGGCCAATAAGGACGAGTTGGATGTGCACCGTTAACGGACATCAAACTCCAAGTAATCGAGTCGATCAGGATGGGAGGTGACGACTTGGGCGTCCGATGGCTACAAGGATGAGGTTATCTGCGAAGAAAGTGAAAACAAAAAGGACAGTACTTATCAGATTCGCATTGAAATGTCATGTTTATGGTAAACAAATTAGAATCCTAAGTGAAACACGTGATTCACTAGTACGTCTACCTGAGGGGCTAAAACAAAGCGTTTACTCATAAAAGCAACGAATAAGATCTGAAAATACATCTTGAATGTAATTCAATATGTCTTTATGCATCAAAAATTTATTATCCGAAATCTGTCTCATACGTACATTGAACAATTTAATTTTAAACGAATGTGTTTTTGTTTGTCAAAGCGCGGTCACAAATAACGTGTGTCGCACCATGGTAGGTTGTTCTATGTTGATAATGTGGTTTGTAGTCACATAGAAAGTTTTCGGCCCCACGTCACGGTTCTCTTGGGTTCACACCCAAAAAGCGAAGCCGACGCATTCGAGGAAAATGTAAGGCTTTCCCACGAGATAGAAGGTCCCTCCCACCCCATCTAACAGCTTTCATGGGATATAAAGCAGGAATGACACATATCGTACGTGAGGTTGATCGTGTCGGCTCTAAAGTACATAAACGTGAGGTAGTAGAGCCAGTAACCATATTAGAATGTCCACCTATGGTCATCGTTGGAATGGTCGGTTATGCACCTACTGCAAAAGGCTTGAGGACGTTCAAAACTGTGTGGGCAGAGCATCTAACCGAAGAATGCAGACGGCGCTTCTACAAAGATTGGTGCAAGTCCAAAAAGAAGGCTTTCACTAAAGCTTCTAAAAAGTGGGCAGACGAAGCTGGTTTGGCGCAGATAAGTCGTGACTTGAAGAAGATCAAAAAGTACTGTACGGTTGTACGAGCTATTGCTCATACTCAGGTATGATCATCATTCATAGTTACAACGATATTAGATGAGACTTATGAAACATCGCCAGAAGAAAGCACATGTCATGGAAATACAAGTGAACGGAGGGACTATATCCCAAAAGGTCGACTGGATCCGCTCACACTTTGAAAAACAGATTCCTATTTCGAACGTCTTTTCTCAGGATGAAATGATCGATGTTATTGGTGTGACTAAAGGAAAAGGCTTCAAAGGTGTCACTTCCCGCTGGCATACGAAAAAGCTTCCAGGAAGACACACAAAGGTCTCAGAAAAGTGGCATGTATCGGCGCCTGGCATCCCGCACGTGTAGCAAGGTCAGTCGCTCGAGCAGGACAGAAGGGCTACTTCCACAGGACAGAACTGAACAAAAAGATCTACCGCATTGGCTTAGGTAAGTAGAACTTTCCTTCATATTTTCGCAGGCCTACAAGCGCAGTTGGAGATAGCAAAAGCCGAAGCTGCTAAAGATGACAAGGATAAAAATGCAGTCCCTAAGCCGAAGGGAAATGCATCTACAGACTTCGATTTGACAGCAAAGAATATCACGCCTATGGGCGGATTCCCACACTACGGCGAAGTCAGAAATGATTATGTAATGCTCAAAGGTTGTTGCATGGGTCCGAGGAAGCGAGTGATCACGTTGAGAAAGACACTGATCCCACAAGTTAAACCTCGATCAAAGGAGAAGATCGCGCTCAAGTTCATTGATACATCGTCGAAGTTTGGTCACGGTCGGTTCCAGACACGGGCAGAGAAACAGGCAATAATGGTAAGTTCTACATAGTTCAAACCTTCATACTAAATTCTCTAGGGCCCCTTGAAGAAAACTATGGGACACTGAAAACCTGCTGTATGATTCTCATTGCGAACAATATATATTATGGTAGAATTCAATTTTTTTATTGCTATGTTTTTCTGGTCTACTAAATCGCCGTGTGACAGTATCTTTTGTACTTTTCATATCACTGTATGGGTGAATTTTAGACATACTCTGGAAGTCAGTACGTACATGCGAGTCATATTGCAGGCCCTTACAAGTTTTGAGGTATTCGCTACCGTCCAGTTAGGTTAGTGTACTCGAATATCATCGTTGTAAAGAGTTATACACACTTGAGGTCTATTACTCACTCAAGAATATCTCTAAGTGTTCGGTAATACGACTTAAGACACTGAAAAAGTTTTATGCCAGTTTCTGCGTCCAAAATGCAGTAGTTACTAAAATAATGTATCCTATGCTGAAGGTAATGTCATATTCAAATCGCGTATTTGAATTAAGATTTCGAATTCGAGTTGTGATTTCTCGTAAGCTTTTCTGTTTCGTGCATGTAAAACTGTCATGGCAAAAAACTGTATTACTTCGCAGTGCAACACAGGTTTTGTTTTTCGGGTGAGGATTGGACTCGAGTATTTGTAGCAGAAAAGCAGGTACCCTATCCTCTCATGTGTGTCTGAATTACCTAACGCGTGCAGTGTTTCGCTTAATAATTTAGTTTATATGCCCTGTACACATCTCTGTGGGTCGCAGTGCAGCATGAATCCTCTGCGTGATATTCCGTTAGATGATTATTCTAATAACATGAGTGTGTAAGATGTTACCGTAGAGTTGTCAAGTGGTCTCATCTGTGTTATGGTAATTCGGGATTTGGTGATTCGACTTCTTACTGTTACCTCATTCGACTGTGTAGCTTTCCTGTCCGGAATTGTCTACTTAGTTTGTTAAAGATGCATGCTGTCATACGGGTCATCGAGTGAAATCCTGCTGTCACGATTGCGATGCGCTAGATCTGTTTTACCAGGAAGGCACGAACGCTTAATTTTTAGTTTTTTGGCTAAAGCTGTTGCTGATTGCTAAATGAAGCAATCATATTTGTGTGAAGGGAACAGGAGTAATTAACACTTACTGGAAGCCAGTACCTAATGTGGAGTTTATGGTTATGATTAGTTTCATTTGTCCGCTGAATTCGTTTGACAGCATGTGGAGATACTAAAAGTTGTGACTGGTGAATACAGTAAGTTGCGTATACCAGTATTCATTTTAAGGTAGGACGACATACGTTACCTTAGGTCTTATATTACAGTTATACGGATATTCTAGAATTTGTTGTATGGCAAATAATAAACTTTTGTTCCTCATGAGGAGGTCTGCATAACTTTCTGCCTCATAGTGGTGATTATTCTCCCCATGGTCAGTTTCCGGAAACGGAGTGGTTCTGCTGTGTATGGTCGTCTCTGACTGCAGCACTGGGTGACGCGGGTTCGAATCTCAGAAGGGACATGAGTTCCTTTGAGGCTGACGATACGCTTTGCTGTAAAGTGCCAACTATCATGAAACCTAGAATTAAGACCTGCCACTGGTCTCCAACTATCTAATATCATCAAACGCAAAGTTGTTGCAAAGCTTGGTGTTGTTCCTATACAGCTTGAGATTCTGTTGGGGTTATATCACGAGGCGTAATGATGCACATATTCCTCTATAATGTGTGTCACTACTTGAGGCACTCATACCAACACAGTTGTCCAATTGATCTCGCAATATTTCCTGCAAAGAAGTTATGTATATTAGAATAATGAACCACAAATTATATTGTTTACCCATTTGCGGTTTTAGCGTACTAGCGTTAAACAATAATCTCATTTCTATAATGCCTGCCGTAAATCTCTGAAGATGTAGAGTATCTATAGAGTCGGCTTGTAAACAAGCTTTTACCAATACCTGTCAAGGGTGTGCATAGATCGCTATTTTACCTATATTCAAGATGCATTGTTGCATCATCAAGTGAACCAGGAAAGCGAACCCAGGGTTGATCTCTTCGCGGAAAGCGAGCAGTCTGGTTATCTGATATATATAATGTCGTGAGATGTATTTTACCTGCGGCCCACCTGCCTGTTCTGCTTCAGTTTCCGGCCAGTGTGTCAGAGAATTGTCTTTAGTCTGTCGCAGCACTCTTCTTCACTTTTCTACTCACTGCAGTGTTACTAAGATGTGAACCAGGAGTATGGACGACTCACATTATCTAATCTTTATTTTTCATTTGATGAACTGAAAATACTTATTCCGAAACTGACTCAGCAAATGATGACAACAATATGCTAACGCCTACTTAACTTGAAACTTGTATAGGGGAGCACAACGCTGCAAATACAGTAAAAAAGAACTCAGTCTACAACTGCTCACGCATAAATTCAGTCTCGTGTGTCAAGTAAATCCTCAACGTGGTGGTACTTTGTTTCATGACTCAAGAAGTGGAAGTGGTACTCAGTTCATGGATCCAAGCATAAAATTGGTTATTGCTCCTTCAGGAAGTTTCTTTTTTATGGAAGAACTTGGTTTACTCGACTGAAAACAGTCCAGTCGAAAACACAGTATTGTATCAACGTTAAAAGTCAATTTTAAATACAAATATATATTGGTTCGTTTGCGATGGGAAACTTATCTTCAAGTTGATGCAATCACTTAGTTACTCACATTGCTTGAAGGACGTTAGGTTCGTGTACTTGTTGACCTCAGTTATCCTGTTCGAGTTATCAAGCTGTTCACTATGCCTGGTCCTAGATCACAGATAACACTGCCCAGCTAACAAAGGCAGAAAAATACACCTGTGTGCCGTCCTTACGCTATTGCCCCAGTTCATGTGTGTACTGCTGCATCTACGTGAAAAATATGCCTCTGTCAATCAGATCCAGTCTGGTTATGTACGCTCGGTCTGTTTTCTTAGTGCCTGAAGCTGGACGTTGAATGAGTTTTTGGTCCAGCTCCATCTGCCCCATTTACTTGGGTTATTAAAAACCTCGGTAGATTTCTACAGCTTCATCTAAAATTATTGACACAATAGGACTGATTCCGATAGACTCCGAACATGAGGGATCAAAGCTGTTCATACACTAGCTGACCAGATATCTTAGCACCGACTGCAAACATTCTTTGGCGACAAATGTGAAAGAGGTGGAAAAGGCAAACAGTTATTTGATTTATTTGTTTCTTCTCCTCGGTAATCAGGTTCCTTCGAACATGTCTTATAGTTTTCATCATCTGGGTTGATCTCTTCGCGGAAAGCGAGCAGTCTGGTTATCTGATATATATAATGTCGTGAGATGTATTTTACCTGCGGCCCACCTGCCTGTTCTGCTTCAGTTTCCGGCCAGTGTGTCAGAGAATTGTCTTTAGTCTGTCGCAGCACTCTTCTTCACTTTTCTACTCACTGCAGTGTTACTAAGATGTGAACCAGGAGTATGGACGACTCACATTATCTAATCTTTATTTTTCATTTGATGAACTGAAAATACTTATTCCGAAACTGACTCAGCAAATGATGACAACAATATGCTAACGCCTACTTAACTTGAAACTTGTATAGGGGAGCACAACGCTGCAAATACAGTAAAAAAGAACTCAGTCTACAACTGCTCACGCATAAATTCAGTCTCGTGTGTCAAGTAAATCCTCAACGTGGTGGTACTTTGTTTCATGACTCAAGAAGTGGAAGTGGTACTCAGTTCATGGATCCAAGCATAAAATTGGTTATTGCTCCTTCAGGAAGTTTCTTTTTTATGGAAGAACTTGGTTTACTCGACTGAAAACAGTCCAGTCGAAAACACAGTATTGTATCAACGTTAAAAGTCAATTTTAAATACAAATATATATTGGTTCGTTTGCGATGGGAAACTTATCTTCAAGTTGATGCAATCACTTAGTTACTCACATTGCTTGAAGGACGTTAGGTTCGTGTACTTGTTGACCTCAGTTATCCTGTTCGAGTTATCAAGCTGTTCACTATGCCTGGTCCTAGATCACAGATAACACTGCCCAGCTAACAAAGGCAGAAAAATACACCTGTGTGCCGTCCTTACGCTATTGCCCCAGTTCATGTGTGTACTGCTGCATCTACGTGAAAAATATGCCTCTGTCAATCAGATCCAGTCTGGTTATGTACGCTCGGTCTGTTTTCTTAGTGCCTGAAGCTGGACGTTGAATGAGTTTTTGGTCCAGCTCCATCTGCCCCATTTACTTGGGTTATTAAAAACCTCGGTAGATTTCTACAGCTTCATCTAAAATTATTGACACAATAGGACTGATTCCGATAGACTCCGAACATGAGGGATCAAAGCTGTTCATACACTAGCTGACCAGATATCTTAGCACCGACTGCAAACATTCTTTGGCGACAAATGTGAAAGAGGTGGAAAAGGCAAACAGTTATTTGATTTATTTGTTTCTTCTCCTCGGTAATCAGGTTCCTTCGAACATGTCTTATAGTTTTCATCATCTGGGTTGATCTCTTCGCGGAAAGCGAGCAGTCTGGTTATCTGATATATATAATGTCGTGAGATGTATTTTACCTGCGGCCCACCTGCCTGTTCTGCTTCAGTTTCCGGCCAGTGTGTCAGAGAATTGTCTTTAGTCTGTCGCAGCACTCTTCTTCACTTTTCTACTCACTGCAGTGTTACTAAGATGTGAACCAGGAGTATGGACGACTCACATTATCTAATCTTTATTTTTCATTTGATGAACTGAAAATACTTATTCCGAAACTGACTCAGCAAATGATGACAACAATATGCTAACGCCTACTTAACTTGAAACTTGTATAGGGGAGCACAACGCTGCAAATACAGTAAAAAAGAACTCAGTCTACAACTGCTCACGCATAAATTCAGTCTCGTGTGTCAAGTAAATCCTCAACGTGGTGGTACTTTGTTTCATGACTCAAGAAGTGGAAGTGGTACTCAGTTCATGGATCCAAGCATAAAATTGGTTATTGCTCCTTCAGGAAGTTTCTTTTTTATGGAAGAACTTGGTTTACTCGACTGAAAACAGTCCAGTCGAAAACACAGTATTGTATC